CCCACACACACACACACACACACACACACACACACACACACACACGATAGCTTTGAACCTCAAGCTGGGTAAATTGGCATCAAAACTATTTACCCTGAAGACGGTATTAAACAGCCAGAAAACTATTTACCCTGAAGACGTATTAAACAGCCAGACCCCACAAAAGATGATAGTCAGAATCTCCTCATCCAACCTTTGCAACAAGACAATGACGCAACCCATTCTTTTTAGCCTAAAAGCACAAACACAACCCAATCAAACCGACCTAAAAAGGTCCTACACAGAATCGCAACCTAACAAAAACGGAAAAGCAATCCAATTCACAGAACCACAAGAAGCATCATACCATGTTCTAGTTAGATTGAGAACTTTATAGCACAAATTCAGCTCAAGAGAAATTCCAAAAGCGATTCAAAATATGATCAAGACTAAATCTGAAAATTCTAGTAAGAGAGAGATAGAAAGAGGGGAACAAGATCCCGAATTTACAAAAGGTTGGATTCGGTTCTATCCCCTCTTTTCTACACAACGCAAAGGACTCGCTACCATGTTTTCTTACATCCTTTGCCTTTCATATGAAAAAAAATGACAACAAAAAAAAAGATAACATTAAATTGTAAAACAGCCGTTCCTAAGGCGACGACCGACCAAACCAACCGTTTCATGGGGATAATAATAAAGAGAGATAAGCTCAAGCACAACAGTAAGACCACTGCTCATCCTCACCGGAAGCGGAATCAGCAGCAGCATTGTACTCATCCTCATCATTGCAGTAGTAAAAACCGCCGTTATTCATTGCAGTCAAGCAGCAAGAAGAACCCACAAGGTAAGGCATGCTGTGGAAGCAGTGTGCGAGGCCACTGGCAAGAGCAGCGTTAGCCATGCCATCATCCTCCGAACCACACTCCTCCGCGCGGTGCTTGAGCGCCTCAAACATGAGCTCGGGCTCGTGCTGCATCACCCGGAGGACATCCCCGCACGATGACCCAGGCACCGCAAGCGTTACCGCGAAGCTGTGCGGGCCATCGCTCTGGGAAACCCGAACAACGCTAGGGCCGCCAAACAGGTTGTGAAATCCCCCGAGTGCCTCCTCATACGCCCCGCCCAAGAACATCCCCAAGTAGTACTTGCCCTCCAACTCGTGCAACGGCAAGCTCGATTCCCCGCCTATGAACTTGTCGATCTTCCCATCGCTGTCGCAGGTTAAGTCCGACAGAATTCCCCTCACGGCAGGCCTCTGATCAAGACGATGAATTGGGATGATTGGAAACAGCTGACCGATGCCCCAAAAATCAGGAATCGAAGTGAAAACAGACAGATTGACATGATAAGTACGGGTTGAATCCGAAACACCAATCACTTTCCAGACAAATTCACAAAACCCATCAACAGCAGCAAGTTGTTCAATACCAAGAGACCCATCTTTGAACTCGTCAATACAACGTTGTTTAAGCTGATCCGCATAAAACAAACAAGTATCAGACTCACCCTTAATAGCCGCCGCAGACAGGTTTCTGTAATCGGCACGAGCTTCCTCCGAAAGCCCTTCAACAAAGTACTGCAACCCAAGGGCGGACATGCCCGGAGTCTCATAAGTACTAGCAGAGACAGCCTCGAAAATCAAAACCGAGTGATGGGAAACAATTGCTCTCCCACTCTCGCTACAAATCACCGGGTGCTTCACCCCCCTGCGGTCGCAAACAAACCGAACTGCACGAACAACCGCCAAGGCGTACTCGTCAAGCCCGTAGCTAACAGAGATTTCTGAATCGCTTGATTTCGATCCATCATAATCGATTCCCAGACCACCTCCAATGTCGATAATCCGCATATGCGCACCGAGACGGACGAGCTCACAGTAAATCTGCGCCGCCTCAGAGACGCCGTCAGCGAGCAGGGCAGTGGTAGGAATCTGAGACCCAATATGAAAATGCAGCAACTGGAGACAGTCAAGCATACCAATCTGCTCGAGCTTTCTCACCACACGGAGAATCTGCGTGGTGGTGAGCCCAAACTTTCCTTTCTCCCCAGAAGTCGATCCGAAATGCCCCGAATGCTTCGTCCTCAGCTTGGCGCGGACACCAATCACAGGACGAATCGAGAGCCTCCTGCTTAATTCAACCACCAAATCGAGCTCTTCCTCTTGTTCCAGAACTATGACAGTATTGAGAGCGAGCTTCCTCGCGACAAGCGCGAGTGAAATGTACTCGGCATCCTTGAAGCCATTACAGACCAGAAGGGACTCAGGGTTACCTTTGCAAAGACAACTCATTGCCAGGAGAAGCTCGGGCTTTGACCCGGCTTCGAGGCCGAACCGGAAAGGGGATCCGAACCTCACAATGTCCTCAATAACGAACCGGTCCTGGTTGCATTTCACCGGATAAACACCCTGATAGTGAGACTCGTAGTCCTGCGATTGGATCGCGAACTGGAAAGCCGACTGGAGAGACTCCAACCTGTTTTTGAGCACATCGGGAAGGCGAACAATGAGAGGCAACTGCAAACCCAACCCGCCCGAGGATTTCGGATCAGAGACCTTCTTCACTATCTTGAGGAGATCGATCTCCTGGTGAGGCATGGTGGCGGAGCCGTACGGACGAACGGAGACGTTGCCGGAGGAGTTGACGTTGAAGTAAGGGGCGCCCCATCCGTCGACCTTGTAGAGGGCGGCCGACAAGGAGGGCGACCAATGGGAGGTCTCCACGGTGGTCGTCGTCGCCGGAGGAACGCCGGCGAATGGTGGGACCGGCGCGGGAAGAGAGCTATCCCCGGCAGCCGCGAAGGCGTAGCCGGGAGGAGCTGCAGCAGCGGCGTCCACGCAACACGCCAGGGCCGGCATCTCTTCTTCGCTCAACCGATCCAAAGAATGAAAGAACCAAAAGAAATAATTTTTTTCTTTGAAAAAAGCAAGAAGGAAAAAAAGTTAGGGTTTTAGAAAAATCTGTTTGTTTGTATGGAAAATGTCTGTGTGGTTTGTGAAGGTGGGGGTTTTAGAACCCGCCGAGGCCGAGGCCCCGGCTACCCCCTCAAAAGAAGCAGTAAATGGATCTATTGAGACCGTAAGAAACCCTCTCTCTCACCCCCTCACAGAGCTCCGAAATCCCCACGCCGAACCCTCAGAAGATTATGGCTTTCTCGGCGAGAAAACGGACACAAATTTCGCCCAAAAAATACAGTAATTTAAGCCTCGAAAACGGAAATCACCATGCAGATCCGGTACAAGAAATGAAACAATATCGCAAAGGCCTTCTCGGATTGGGGAAGGAGAAAGGTCGGGGAGATGGGGGAAAGAGAGAGAAAAATTGAAATTTTCCGGCAAAATTGCAGGAGAAGAAGAAAGTGAGGGAAAATTGGGGAGAGAAAAAGAGAGGATTAGGTTTTTTTCTTTTTTCTATTTTGCGTTCGAAGAGTACGCCGAACGATGGAAGAATTGGCGAGAATTGCATGAATGGGGAAGCTAATTTATATAGGGGACTCGGAGGTGGGCTAGTTGGGCCGTGGGCCCCCTTTTTTCCCCGTCTTGGGCCTCAAGTCAATAATATATTATAAATTTTATTTTTTTCAATTTCTCGCGGCTCCTCTATAGAAACGACTCATCAGCGTCGAGTTGCCGCGTGGCTCTGTGACAAAGCGGGACCCACTCTTCTCAACGCGATGACGCTTCTCTGCCCCTCCCCGATACGAGAAAATCGGGGTGTGGTTTCGAGTTATAATCGCGCGATAATTTCGTGCGATATTTGGGGTTAGGAAACCAGAGCGAAGTTTCTCTTTTCCACTACACCGCTCTGATCGCGCCACGTGGAAGATGAATTAGTTGCTGCTCGTATTTTCAAGAGTCACAGGTGTGCGGCTTAATTGGCGTTTTTCTTTTCTTTTTTCTCCATTTCCCTAAAAAAACGCAAAGACGATTGATTTGAATTACAAAATTTTTTTAGGATTAAAAGATTGTCACGTGGAGAACACGTGTCTCTTGGCCTCTATTATAAGAGTGTGTTTGGTTGGGTGGAAAGAAATAAAATAAAATGTAATGAAATTTTAGTTTGATGTTTTATTGAATTTATAAAAAATGATTGATTATTTAAAAAGAATGGTCATTCACCCATTTTAGGTGAATCATCATTCATTTCTTATATGAGAAGAATGACCATTCTAAATTTTTTTTTATTTTTTTCATAATTATTCTTCAATATTATAATATAATTAAAATATATTATATAGTACTTATATCTTATAATATGTAATATAATATAACATACAATAAAAATGTTATAATATAATAATCAATTTATAATATAGTTATAAATTATAATATATTTATTTAATATTCTATAATAATGTATATAATATATTATAACGTAATTATATCTTATAATATAATATATAATAATATTACAATATAATATAATAATACAATAATATGATATAATATAACATAGTTGTAATATTTTAACAAATAATATCACAATTATACAAATAATTCTAATATAATTATTTTATTGCATAATATTGTATTATAATTATATTATATAATATTAATATAATTATGTTCATTATAATAATAATAATAATGTAATAATTAATAAACTTAAATATTAATATCATCTTTTAATTCTAATATTATTATTTATTATAGTATATTACACACGACCACCACATAATGTATTAATTATAATATATTTAATATATATAATATAATAATTATATATTATATTATAATTATATGTATACTATAATATAATATTGTTGTAATTTTTAATTATATTATAAAATATTATTGTTTCTTACATAATATTATAATCCGTTTTATAATATTATAATTATATTAACCATTTTAATAATATTATTATATTTAGTGGTACCAGCAACAATTTTAATAATATTGTTATATTATATATCATAATTATATAATAATAATTTTATTATATTATATTACATTTTATATATTATATTGATAGATAAAATATTAGTGTTATATATAGCATAAGGGTAAGTTTGTCAACATGAAAATATTCATGTTTTATTCGAGAGAATTCTTAAAATTACAACCGAACAAATTAATCAACTTTCTTTTTCATTCCATTCTCATTCTCATTCACATTATCATTCCCTCATTGTAATAAAATGCACCCTAATGAGAATCAGGGACCCTTTTTTTTTTTTTGGTTAATTGCTTATTGTATACTTTTTTTTACCAAAACTACATAAGGTGTGTTTAGAACTCATTTTAAAATGATTTTATTTTTTGTATGTAAATAGAAATGAAAACGTTTTTAATCTCAGACAGAAATCATTTTTAAAAATACGTTTGGTAGTTTTATCAAAAGATTGATTTCAGTAAAAAAAAAAACACACATTAATGTCTCTCTCTGCTCGAGAGAGAGGAGAAAACGAAAATAAAAAATGAAAAATGACTAAATTGTGTCATTTCTCTCCCATTTTACACTAAATCAAAAAATCGTTTTCATTTCCGTTTTTTGTCTTTACTTGTGTCAAACGTGATTTTGGAATCGTTTTCATTTTTTTCTCAAAAAACGTGAAAAATAAAAATAAGAACAATTGCAAACACGGCAATAATTTTTCTAGGTTTACCATGGTTCCTTTTTTTTTTTTTTTAGAAAACATCTTCAAGTTTACAATGGGCCAATCCATTATTTTTTGGGAGAAAGAGGGAAATAGGCCAAGACTTGAGATGAAATAAAATTAATAGGCCAATAGTTTACATAAGTTAATAAATAGGCCAAATTATTGTTTTCGTCCATAACTTGTCTAATTTTGAACCATAACTTGACAAGTTATTGTTCATAATTCACGGGTTTTGTCCATAATTTGTCTGGCTATGAACCATAACTTGACAAGTTTGTCCATAACTTATCTGGTTATGAACCATAACTTGACAAGTTATGGCCTACTAATTTCTAAAACTAAAAATTGGCCTATATACTTTCTTAAGCTTTTCATATTGGCCTATTTTCTACTATTTCTCTTGTTCTTTTTAGCAACATTGGATTTTTTTTATAAGATCGTTGGGAAGATGGGAATCAAAGGGTGAAAAAAATTTCAATTATCATCTAATAAAAGCTGAAAAAATCAAGCGCTAATGTCATTTTATACTATTAAGATTTGAACTAAACATAGATTCAATAAAGTATAATGTACTTTAACTTTTACTCCTTTTTGTTTTCTTGATTAGAAATTTTCCATTTTCCATACTCAAATTCCCCTCTTTGAAATTTATTCCATGCTAATGATAAAAAAAAAAAAGAAACAATAGGATTTAAATTTTGAATCTTATAATCATGTTTTGTTGGACTATAATATTCCCATTGTGCGAATAGAACCAGTCTTAAGAAAAAAAAAGTATGTGGAAGAGAAAGTAACAACAGTGCGCTCTGCCATTTAACTGCTAAATTAATCTACTTTGTTGTCATCGGATGCTGATTTGAAGAGTGTGTTCTTACCATAAAGGATGAGAGTCGTCGAATTATAGTTGAGGTTGGAGTTTGGTCACGTCAATTACAATGCGCTTTTCAAGCAAATTGATCATCGGCTCGCCCTACCCTTTACAGGTTTTGGTTTGCTAAGGGAGACGAGTGATCTGAGGAGAGTCGTCGAATTATAGTTGAGGTTGGAGTTTGGTCACGTCGATCACAATGCGCTTGCGCTTTTCAAGCATATTAATCATCGTCTCGCCCTACCCTTTACAAGTTTTGGTTTGCTAAGGGAGGCAAGTGATCTAATAACTCGTGTGTCGGTCATTGCAGTGACGAATGCATATGTATCCCGACACTTGCCTTTTTTTACCATTTCTTATATTGATATTAAGTGACTTGCTCTTTTTGGTGTTTTGATGTGTTTGCTTGTGATTTTTTTTTTAATAATCGTTATTATTTTTTTATTTTGTAATAATGGTAATTGTTACATCCACCAATTAGTTATTTATTTATTTATTCAGTATTTGGTTGTTTTTTCATCCGTTTGATTTGTTTCTTTAAAGGTTTTTTCTTTCCCTCCTTTGTGGCCTTAGTGTTATTGCTTCTTATCACTAGTTGATAGGATACTTTCATCAATTATGGAGGTTTCATTAATAAGTTATATGTGGGTAATCCATCTTTGGTTTACCTTTTCGTGCATATTTTGTTTGTTGAGCTTGGTACCTATTATTTTTGCTTGACGTTTTATTCAAATTTACTGGTGGAATTTGTTGTGTGTCAATATCGTATTTTCTATTAATGAAAATTGTATGTATAGTTGGTGCGCTTCTCATGCTTTGGAACAAATTTGTTCTTTTTAAAAAAAAAAATTTTAATTCAGTTTAAAAACGTTAAATTTTGTTTACTATTTCTTTTAGTAAAACAAGCATTTCACGCAACTAGGCAACAATTAAATTTTGCTTATTGATTGAAAACGTTGTTCTACTAATTAACACAAACATAGAATTTACATATTATTTAATATGAACATGATAATAGCAAATGCAATAATCAAAATGAACGTGTGCCTTTTTAATTACAATAAAATAAATGGCATCTTCGCATATATTTTATGAAACATTTTAGAATATCATGTTTAGTTTTAATAATATTTTGAAGTAAAAACTTTTGATTTTTTCCTAAACTTCTTAGCTAAAGAAATTTAATTTTTACAACTTGAATTTTCTCATGCTCTAACATATTATTTTGAGAATGTAGGACCGACAATTTTTTGCATGGAAAATAATAATTAAAAAAAAAGTAAATGGATTTGGTGATCCGTTTATTTTTATGACAATTTTGAATTGACGCATATAACAAAAATAATAAATTTGTAGATTCTAGATCAACCTTTCAATTTGAAATTAATCTTGCATAAAAGTATGAATTAAATGGGTTATCAAATTTTCATAATAAAAACTCAACATTGTATTTGGGTTTTATGTGTTTTGATATTTTTATTTAGTTGGATATGGATATTTGTAAAACTATGAGTACTTGTAAGATAGGCATGTAATATCTTGCTAAAAATGGTATATAGAGAGAGTAGATTTTATAATTAAATTTGTTTAGATGGTCAATGACCGTTTTTGGGCATCAATCAAGATGGTAGGTCAATTCGTCTAGAGTCAATTGGAAGTTAGATCGAAAATGTAAAAGTGCAGAAAAATAAAGAGATAAGTATATATATATAAATCTATAATGGTTTACCTTTAATATGAAAGTTACGTTTATTGTAGGATATCGGAGGCTTCACTATATGATATATAAAGTATAATTACAATGGTGAAAAATAAAGAAGATAGAGGGGAAGGACATCTACATAGAGAATTGAGAGAGAGAAAGAGAGAGAGGGAGGGAGTAATGGGCATAAGTGGTCCCTTTAATTCCTTATAATAATCCCCTATTTTATAGAAGATGGTTTGAATTTGTTTAGTTTTGCAAATTTAGAGTGG